AGCGGATTTCAAATTCTTTAATCCTAGGTCCCCTGCCACCCAGCAAACAGTCATTGTGGTAACCTTCATTCTTTGGAGAAGCTGTGTTCCTTTAGTTCATTGATCTCCTAGACTTGACATAGCTGAGTCTTGAAACTCCAGAGTTGCAAGACTTTTGTCATCAATAAGTCACATTCCTATATTTGAAAAATGAAGAAATGAGATTAGATGGAAATGATTTACCTAAGGAAACCAAACTCATTAGCGCTAAATGGCTTTCATTTGTTATATTGTCTAAGTAGGAAAGCCTGAATGAAAAAAAAAAAAGATGAGAAAGCATTATCCAAACATGCCTGGGTGGCTGAGAGGAGGTGTGGTAAAGGTAGTATCTGGTAATGGTAGTGGTATTCAGATAATTTTTTTGATAACTATTGAAACTCTGTTTTACATAAATAGAACTTCCTGTACCAGCAAGGAAACAAATATGGTAGTACAGTTTAGGATTAAATCTTGGTAACTCTATAGAGATGAGCTTTGGATAGAAAACCTGGTTACCAGAGTCCTCAGACTTTCTCCATTTTGCCTTTTCTGATGTGCTTTCAAGTATATTATTATAGTTAATGGTTTTTAACACTTTCTTTCTACAGTGACAGATTTGTTACTTTGTTTTTTATTTTTGTATCTGTAGAAAGGGGCCTGAGGTTATTCAACTTTATTAGATGTTTTGAGACATTAGATTTATTATGTGATTTGAAAATGCAGTATACATTTGGGAAACTATGGTTAGACTATAAATTTGTTCTATATTCAAACAGATACTCAAAAAGCAAATATAGAGCCATGATACTTAATAAGATCAATATAAATGCCACAGCATATGTTTTTTTATTATTTTATTTTATTTTTTAATTATACTTTATTTACTTTGTATCCCCCCTCTAGTTCCCTCTCTCCTCCCCTCCCAATCCCTCCCTTCCTCACCCTTCTCCACACATTCCCCTCCCCAAGTCTACTGGTAGGGGAGGGTTTCTTTTTCTTCCTTCTGATCCTAGTCTGTTAGGTCTCATCAGGACATAGCATATGTTTTGAATCACTTAGAAAGCATTTAGAAATTTTAGTATGTTCAGACATAAAAAGGAATGAGCCATGTCCTTACCTTATTATTTCATATTAAAGAAAATTTACTCCTCCATGACATTTGATATACTATATTTTATAGCCTTTCATCTATGTGTGTGAGAAGAAAGAATATAGTTAGTTTGTTTATGCTCTGTCTCTGATGCCCATAGGATAGTGCTTGGCAAATAGAATAGAGACAAATTTGCACACATGGATCATACCATAGGCACATTTTTATATTGGAATTGTATTGGATTTTTCTCATGTTAATAGTTTTTTTTAGCGCATTTAAAATGACTATATCATGTACCTGCACACAATCCACCATACTGTTTTACCACTAAATAATTCATTTTGTTAATTTTTCCTGACATAGAAGTTAATTTGGAAATCTTCTATTTATTTCTGAAGTAGTGGTTTTTTTTCATAGTGAAAACAAACCCCTCAGTAGGCCATGAAATGCTATCACTTTTTCATGTCTTTATTTAGCCATGACCTCCCTAGTAGGTCTACATTGTCTATCCTGTTTGCATTGCATCCCTGACCCCTCTCATGTTATATGTGTTTCCAGTTTATATGTGCTTCCCCAGTTTTCAGTATCTCCTGAACTTCTTGGCTTTCTTTCCCATCAGAGTACAAGTTTGGCAGTAGGGAGTTGTGGGCAGTGTGGTCACCCATCCCTCATGCCTAGAATACCATTTTAGCCTCTCAACAGTAATATTGAATGAATTGAAAGTTAAAAATAGAAATGCTTATTTCAAGTCAAGGATTTATTACACACACTAGCAACACTCATTAACCAATTAGTACAATGGCCAAGGACTTTACTTTTCTCAGTTTTTAGGTTTATTTTTGAATTTATGTGTATGTGTATATGTGAGCCTGCATGAGTCTATGTGCACCATATGCATGCAGAAATTCCTCATCAGCTAGAGTCCTGGGCAGTTGTGAGCTTCCATGTGGGTGCTGGGAACTGAACCCCAGTCCTCTGCAAGAGCAGTAAGCACTTTTAACTGCTGAGCCATCTCTCCAGACCTCATTTTGCCATTTCCCCTATTAGTTAGTTGAGAAAAGTCATAGTTTTAACTGTGTTGCTAATCAGGTTTTCCACATGAAATCATCTGAACTCTGGCTTTAGGTAGAAGTTTCTACGTGTCAAGTGTCACTGCAGTTCATCCCTGTTTTTATCCTCAGGTTCTTCTCTTAAGATTCTAAGTTGTTGATATGGTTGCAATCTCATATTCTCTGATAAAAATCTGGGATAATTTTTACTATATCCTGCTTCTAAGTGATATTGGGTCTTTTCTCTGCATTTCTTTAGGAAGAACATTCCACAAACTCCTGTTTTCGCTGGATTGAATTTATGCACTTCCTTAGCATACTGTGACAACAGCTAGGAGAAGGGCCTGCTGCACAGGCCTGGGAGCCTAAGTTCAGATGCGCAGGGCCACATCCAGAGTCACGTGTGTTGGCACATTTGTAATCTCCACTCTAGGGGAGGGGGCAGAGATAGGCCGACTCCTGAAGCTCATTTGCTGGACAACCTACCCTAATAGTGAACTTCAGGTGCAGACCCTGTCTTAAAAAATAAAGGTGTAGAGAGATTAAGGAAAGACATTTGACAGGGAGTTTTGGCCTCCACAAACATGTGTCCACACTTGTGCATGTTTCCACATGTCCAGATACATTCACTCACACTGACAAGTATATACACCAGACACATACGTATACACATCACATACATACTGTATTACATGTTTACCCCTTTCACAATGATAGTGATATGAGCCAAAAAAAACCTAACACTTTATGTCCTTTGTGGATGTGTTAATTATAATCTTTTAGTAAATCATAAAACGTGGCCATTTATTAGCTACAATAGCTATATATACATTTATATGATATTTATAATTTCAAAGTTTTTCTTTAACAATGATCATGATTCATTAATCATAAAAATGCACCATAGGATGCATAAGACATGGTTTATTATATTAATTTTGTAGGTGACAGAGAAACAGAAAAATAAAGAGACAATCTAGATGTAAAATTTAGAAACTGGTTAGAGGCCTGGGAAATTCATATACCTTGAGTTCTACTGGGTCAGCACTATTTGAGCCAATTTATAATCTTTTATCTCGATTAAATCATTATCTTTTTGTTGATCAACCTTAGTAGACTCTGCAAAAATAAAAACAAATACTTAGAATGAAACAAGTTTAAAATCTTATTTGCTTTTTTATTTCTAAGACATGATCTTGCTTTGTCCTTTGGGCTGGCTTTGAACCTTCAGTCCTGCTGCTTGTTAGCTAGAACCACAGGCCTGGGCTCTGGGCCCAGCTCTTGGCTTTAATTGCCCAGAGGCTGCTACTTCACCTTCCCAAGGACATTAGCTGTTCTTGATTGTTACCTACTTTTCTTCATTCTTAGTGCACACAGGCTTCCATACAACATATGAAACCATTGGTTATTAGTCTCTTTTCACCATCTAAGCAGTTAGCTGTTTTTTCCATCTCTGTTTTTTCCATCTTCAGAGCTGGTGCAGAACACTGGGAAGGGCACACTAAGGTGGGGATGGCCTTGTAGGTAGGTTAACACAGCAAGCACAGTGTGTCACTTGGAGATTGGACAATAGATACCAGCAAGTGTAGACCATTATAGAAATGAGACACAAAATGGGGTTAAAGTGTTCCAATAAAGCACACCAGGAAAAAAAAAAAAACCCTCTCTGGAGCTTAGACCACAGTCTGACCTTAAGCACCAAACAGAGTTCAAGGATAGATTCTGGTTTCTGGGTGGTCTGCATATGGAAGATCACCAGAATCTGAGAAGGAAGGGTCACGGTCATGGATGGACCAGCCCATTTACACATCATAAAGCAAAGTGTAATGTCAGGCTCTAAAATCAGGGCAGAAAGTCAAGGTCACAGGGCTGGAGAGATGCCTCAGTGGTTAAGTGTTCCTGTTGTTCTTTCAGATGATCACAGTTGGTTCCCAGCACCCATGGCAGGCAACTTACAACTGCCTGTAACTCTGGTTCAAGGGGGCATCCTATGCCTCTGGCCTCTGTGCATCAGAGGTATGCACATGCACATAATAATAAAAAAAACATAAAAATAAATCTTGAAAAGGTCAAGGTCGAACTAACAGCAGCAAGAGTAAATAATTTCATTCTTAATCCCCAGAATTTGTGTTGGAGTCTCTGAGAGGAGGTCAGAAATGGTTTCTCTAGAGGGGTCTTTTAAACCTTTAAAATCACAGGAGAACTGCCTGGGGTGCTTAGGACTGATTGGAGACGGAGGGGCCAGGTGTCTCCATTTTCACAAGCATCCCAGATGATTCAGATTCAAGTGTTTGCAGACCGCATTTGGAGAAAATTGTCCCAAATTGTCAGGAAGCACTTATTGTGGGATAGGGGACCTAGTGGCTACTGCTGCTGGGAGAGGAAGAAGTCATTTAGAATTTGAAAGTCAGACCTTTCTGCTAAAAGAAACAGATCTCTTATGCTCAGAGTCCAGTTGTGTTTATCTGCATGCAAGAAAGCCGTAAACACAGACTGGTATGCACTGGCCTGCGGTGCTATAAACCTGCTAGGTTTTTTCTCCTCATGTCTCTTGCTTCCTGTGTTTATGACCCAAGTGCTTTTGTAATGTCTAACAAACAGTTATACCTTTTGTGTAAAACTGTGAGGCAGGTTCTTTTTGGCGCAGCATAAAGGTCTCCCCCCCCCCCTTTTAACTTTCCATTTGTCATCTGCATGATTAATTTTTCTGTCCTACTTTATAAATTGATTAGCTTGAGCTGGGCAGGTAGACTGCTGTCGTGCTAAGGGTTAACCAGAAGAGAATTACAAATGAACTATCTAGAAAGTTGATTATTAATCCAGCTAGAGAAGAAATATCCTTTTACTTAGCAAGAATGAGTATCCGAAGAGTGGATAATATTGTTCAGGCGGTGGGGTGGAATGGCAGAGCTTGGTAAGTAAAACAAACTTGGAATTAACCTTTTATATTTATTTTTGAGCTAGTAGAATGCTATGTTACATCTAATATGAATTCACAAGCTGCTAGAACATTCTAAAATGTTCCAAATGTTCTTGTTGTTGAGATAGATCCCTGTACACTCTGTCGGGAGAAGGTCACGGAAAGTGTTTGCATGAGCGGATAAATATATTTAATTTTAAAAACACATGATTAGATTGGTGATTAAGAACAAGGAAGTACACATGGAGGAGTGATTATTAATATAATCGAAGTCCAAACCTCAAGTAACATAAACTGAAGAATCCTAGTGAAAACCTTACTTTCTTTTCTCTCTCTCTGCTTTTTTACCCACAAGAGCACATGCTGGACTCTTTGCTATTAAATATAATTTAAAGTATAACATTCACATAAAGATTCCTGAGATATTTTCCAGCTATCGAGGCAACAAAAACTGTCATAGGTTTTGATATTTTCAGGGTCCCAGGACTCATTTTCTTGCCATGTTTAATTTAAAGTCCTCTTCTAAAGATAGCTTTTATTGTATTTGTGAATTGAAAGGGAAGAGAAATGATAAGATCTGTGCTATTTGTACAACGAAAATTAAGTGAAAAGATAGGATTTTAATAATGTTCTTCCACCAAAGACTGCTCCTGTTGAAGAAATTTTGATGTCAATATTCAATTCTATAAGGTTGAAATCTTGCCCGATATTACAAAAGTAAGCCTTTAAAATATAATGTGGAGTATAATGAGTATTATAAAAATCTTGTGTAATAAATATGATGCTATTATTCTTATAAGTCAGTGACACTTTTCTCAAATTGCAGTTGTATCCAACAAATGAACACTTTTGAAAATGTTTTTAATGATAATAACACCACTTCAAATTAATATTTTATTAGTTAATGCTTAAATAAATGCAGATTTTCCCTTTAAATACTATGAAGTTCAAGTTGGAAGCATATGCTATGTATGTGCATGTATCTGTGAATGTATTTGAATGTAGATAAGTGTGTGTTCAGAGCACCAGAGCACCATGGGACCTCACATACTTAGCTCCTGTTTATTTTTCATGTCCTGGCCTATATTTAGGACTGGGAACAGCAGAGCATAGTAAATAAAATAATAAGATTATTAGTTCCATTTATGTAGTTCTTAGAACTAAGTGTATGTCTTAGCTCATTTAATCCTTACATTAGCTCGATGGTTCTTGGAAATCTTGAGGATTAAGGTATATGCTGAAACAAAAGTTAGGCTAATTAAGGATTCCTTAGCATCTGATATTAAAAGTCTACAGAGTCAAGGTTCAAGAACTAGAATGTGTAAGAGTGAAAATACATGAATTGGATATGCATGTCTTAAAACTCAAAGACATTGATATAAGACCCGAGAAGAAAAGGGGTAGGGAACTAACCACTCAATTCTTTGCGTCCATTAATTCTTTAACAAATGTTACTGTGGAATTTCAGTCATATAAATGAGATCAATTATATTGCACAGCATATTAAATATGTATACAGTTAGAAGTAAAATGTCACCACAAAGCTTAAGCGTTGATCAGTCTTGCACCCTTCTCTCTTTATGCCAGAGGTAACCACTTTCTTGAATTGATGTTTTGTTTCTTCTCTTTTCTTCCTTAACTTGATTAAATTTCATATTCATTGTGTAGTGGGAAGATTCTTACTTACCACTCTTTGGCTTCTTGGCTTCCCACAATACTCTGATTAAAATAAACAAGCCAGACCAAGCAACAACAACCCAGAGTCAAGGTTTTCTCTCCCACACAGAACCTGACTCTCTAGTCAGGCAGCAGCTCTTGCTTTTGTCCTCATCCTCTCTAATCCAGCTGCTGCACAAGTTTCCTGTTAGTTTTTTGTATCCTCCAACTTATTTCCTGCTGTGAGGTCTTCATAGAAGGCAGTCTTCTCCCAGAAGTGCATGTTTTTCCAGACAGCACAATTCTGACTCATCCTTCAGGTTTTTATTTCAGGTCATAGTTTTTTTTAATTTAACCTATTAATTTATTCATTCATTTTTTGTGGTAGATATGGGCCACTGGGTACCACAATGCACATCTGGAGGTCAGAGGACACTTTTTAGAATCCTGTCCATTCTGTAGGTTCCAGAAATGGATCTCAAGTTGTGGGTATGTGAGGCAAGTTCTTGGCATCTGAGCCAAGAACTAGCCCGGGTCCTCATTTCAAAGTAATTTCTTCAGAGAAACCTTTTCTGATCTTTCCAATTCAAATGCTGTTTGCCCACAAAAATCTTGCCTACCACCCCCTTTTATTTATCTCATAGCAGGTATTGCCATTTTAAATGATCTATTTATGGGTGTGTTTTGTTTTTGTTTTTGCTTAATATTGTCTCTTTACTTTGGAATAGTCTGTTACTGGATTTTTTCTTACATGTAGCATACATAGTTGTGCACATCATAGGCATTTAGTGAGCATCCGCTACTATCAGAGAGAGGAAAGTAGTGAACAAGGAAGAAGGAAAAGGGGAGACTGATATGAAGGAAGACAAGTCTCTGAAAATGAAGTCTGTAGTCTTGTTCTGCTTGGATATGCAGTGTAGACAGGATTCTGCATTTTGATGTCAGCAAAGAATGAACTGAGGAGGTGTTAGGGACATCTTTGGTTCTGCCTGGCTTTAGATTTCTCAGAGCTCTTTTTTAATTAAATTTTTATTTTTATTTATATTAATTACAGTTTATTCACTTTGTATCCCAGCTGTTGCCCCTCCCTCATTCCCTCCCAGCCCCCCCCACCCTCTCTCCCTCATCTCCTCCTAGGCCCCTCTCCAAGTCCACTGATAGGAGAGGCTCAGAGCTCTTTTATACAGACATAGGAGCCCAGCTTCCACATTACAGATTTATAGGGTAGCCCAGTGACTATGATCCTATTATAGAAGTGCTCTATAGGACTCCTAAAATCTGGGGGAACTAAAGACTCAGTGAGGAAATAAAAAGCCTTGAGGCCACTTGTAGGAGTTTTAAAGCAGGTGACTAGAATTGCAGAATCCATGGTGGGGACAATTGTCATGATACTGTTACACAGCTTTGATTGTTTTTCAGGAGAATAGTAGGTCATTTTCTTTTCAGGACTAAAGAAAATGAAGTCTAACAGGTAGGTGGGACTTATCAAATGTCAGAATAGACTTACATTCTATTCTAAGTAAACCTTTGCTGACATTTATAATTAAGGTCCAAGGCTAGGACCTTAATTATAATATTTTTGTTGGTGGTGGTGGTAGAAAAAAAAGGAGAATTAGTCCGTGTTTTTAAGTAAAGTTTTTACATACCATTTTATATAATTAAAATTGTATTCTATTTACTATTTACTTATTATTTTTCCTTTATTTAAAAATAGATTTTTAATACAATATATTCTGATTATGTTTTCTCTTCTCCCAACTCCTCTGAGAGCTTCCCCTTACTATTATTATTTACTTATTTGGTGTGTATGCTTATGCCACCACAAGCACTTGGAGGTCAGAAGATGACTTCTGGGCATTGGTTCTTGCCTTCCATCCTGGGTTCCCTGGGATCTTTCTTGCTTAGGTTGTCAGGCATGGCAGCAAGCTCCTTTATCTACACAGCCATCTCACCAGCCCATCTTATACAGTTCTTGGGGGGACCCTGTGAAGGCTTTTTCTGTCATTGTTTTGCAAGAACTCAAGGAGAAGCTAAGACTAAACTTACTTTAAAGAAATTCCTAGATACAGCTTTCTAGGCAAAATGAAAATTCCCTTACCCCTGATTCCTCCTGAAGGCTTAAATTAATGGATGTGTTTAGTGGCCTTGGTAGATGAAGTTTACATGTTGTCTTGACTTGAAATTGTCTTTTTCTTTTCTCAAAATGCAAAGTGGTTAGCAATTTCCAACAAATGGAACCAATTGTCTAGATGTTTACAATCAATAAAGATACACGACTGAGCTTATTATATGTTAAGGATTATTGAATGAACTCTAATGGTCGCTGTCCTTGCCTGATATTTTAGAGCTCCAAAATAAGGCACAAGTGTGACTGGAAACGAATGAAACAGTGAAACCATGCAATAGCAGAAGATGCAGGCCTCTTGGGTGCGCACTTAATTGTTCAGAGGAAGCTACCCATTTGGATTATTTTAAAGAGGAAGTGAAGGGTGAAAGTGTTTATGCCATATATATACCATGGGCATACAAGTGACTAGTAGCAAGTGGAGGGCTTTTTTTTTTTTTTTAAGATGAATTCCAAAAGGTATTGGTAATGATTACCCAAGAAAGCTGTCATAAATTAAGAAGGCCAAACTTCTGTGTTTCAGTTGGACAAAGGGTGAGGAGAAATGTCTGCTCATGCTTGTTTTGGGTAGGTGGCAGAAGCTTCCTGAAGTTAAAAGAACCAGGCATACTAACTCTCAAGAAAGAATTTAAGAGAAATTAAGAGCCTGTGTGGGCCTGGTGGTTCAGACCTGTAACCCCAGCTACTCCAGAGGCTGTAGCAAGAGCCTATGTTCCAGGACTTCCTGGGCTACTGAATGAATTTGAGGCTAGCTTAGGTAAACTTAGTGAGACTGCTGCAAAATAAAAGTAGAGAAGAGGGTTGTGGATGTAGCTCAGTGGAAAAGACCTTGCCCAGCAGACATGCCTAGCATAAATGAAGTCAGGCTCAGTCCTTAGTCCACAGAGAGAGGAAATGGGATTACAGTACCTAGACAGCAAGGTTGTGGCTCGATGAGTAGTAGTTTATACCATAGTGCACCAGAGAGTGAGGCCCAGTGAGCCATAGTCATACCATGCAGAAGGGTGTTTGTAAATTATAGTTGCTGAAATAGAGTGGGCTTCCTTGCTGAGGTAGTGAAGACCTTGCCTTTAGGAGGAGATTGATTAAAGTACTCAGCTCTATCAAATGATTTCGGTGTCAATTCTTAGAAAAAGCTCTCTCCTGTGAGTCTCTTAGCTCCAAAGGAGAATGACTTGACTTAAGGGACTCACATTTATGTATTCCTCTACTA